TTATGGCTGCACGTGCCTCGCTGTTCAATCTACGGAGGGCGCTTATAGCGCATTAAGGGGAGGGGGTTGAGGATGATCCACGTTGATAAAGAGCTCCTAGTCACCTGAGAAAGTTTTTCAAAACACCCCTCATACTTCGCTGACTAAACGACGCCACTAAACGCCTCTGCCAAGTTGTTGTGCGCAGCTCACCAAGCTTCCAGTTACATCACATTTCTTCGAATGGGCCATCCATTCAGGTCGCTTACGCTAGCAATTCCTTGAAATTTGTGTGTGCAGCGTGCTATTCAGGGATGGGACGGTTTTCGAAACATTGACTTACGGTGTTAGGCACAACAAAGAAATGCACAGTACATTTCAATGTATTACACCGTTTAAGCCCTCTCCCTTCAGGTCATTGAGTGTACCTTCCAGTGCAAGTGCGTCTCTCTTCCGGTTCCATGCTTGCGCGAGGTGAAATGCGCAGCCCTCCACCGATGCTCTTGGGAATGTCTTTCGTGCCGCGCTTTATTGCAGCTCTCGAAATCCAAAATCGCTCTCATTGGAACGTCACAGCAAATATTTCCTCTCCGCTCGTGAAAAATTCTCATGTAGACTCGCTCCGTGTTTTTTCACTGTTATACAATAGGGTGAAGAAAACTTCACTCCTTCAGCACACACTCCGCGGGCACAGTATAAATGCGCGTGGTGCCCAAGAGTTCGGGATGCAGTGAGTCCATGCCATCGGCTACTATGCTATAGAAGCGATTTTTTGTTGTCCTACTTTATAAGTCTAATTGGAAGTTGACAACGAATAAGATGCACGCAATACTCAGATCCGAGTTAATGCATAAATCCCAAACAAAAAATAAGAAGCGCAAGATGCTACAAAATATTAGAGAACAACAAAACAAGTAATCATAAGAAGTCAAGTAAAAAGAACCGAACTGAAGTCGGGGCTCTATCCCCGGGGTTGAGGGATCCCCTGCTATACAGTGCATCTTGCCATTGGCATATCCCTCAGCAATGACATATCGTGCATAACCCGCATGGGACCCGATAGGACATACCTGCAGGTACGAACGTAACCAGCGGATAAGTGGCGACCGGCTATCCACGAGTGCTGGATTCCCTGCACTACATGGAGGCTGTTATCACAAACTCTCTGTAAACGCATGCATTCAAAATGGTTCATTGTAAAACATCAATCCTCACCTGTATTATCGCCAACGAAAAATATAGGTGAAGACCAGGTTCCTGCTGGAGAAGGTGATCCATCGTCAAGGGCGCGAATTTCCACTGGTACACATTCCACGCTTACTGATCTTTTTATCGACACAGCCACGCTTCTGAAACACAAACTGACAATGATGGCAAATAAAAACTGCTCCGAACTTGGCTAAACATCGTACGGATCTACGCTAGCAGCTCTGATGCCGTCCTATATGTCTTCTGTAAACAAATGATATTGCCTCACGAAATAAAGGGTAATGTTAAGTTTCCACCGTCTGCATCTAGTGACGCTGGCAGCATCCACGCCGACTTCTTTCCAGCAAATATTCGAGCACTCCCGTTTTTTGGTCCTAAAAGGAAACAAAATTATTAATCAGGCGACCATCGCCGATATCACGATTAGTCTTATAAAGATGCCTATTGCCTCTTTTTTTCATGTTCTTCGCTGGGTTGCATTCACGGTCCATCCTGCCCGGATCACTTAAAGGCAAACCCCGGGAGCCCGACTAGTAGAGGATACCACGAGGGAAATTGTAAGGTCCGTACTACCTAGATCACTCCAGCTTCGTCGCAAAAATTGCGCGGTTAGGGCGCTAATCCTTACGGGCCTGCAACCATCGACCCCGTTGCAACGCTTCCCACCACTGTCGTGACTTTCGTACGACTTCTACGCATATTGTACGCCGTCACGGTTCGCACTCTACATCGACGCCAAGTCAGCCCGCAAGCCATCTTAAAGGGCCGAGTCGTCAGGGTCCGCACTGGGTCTTCACGCGCACTAGTCGACGCGCAGGGAAGGATTGGCCCACGCCACTTTTGGGCCTGGAAGTTTCTACGAGTTCAGTCGTCTCCTCGTCGTCATCGTGAGTCGTCGTCTCCCCTTCCTTCGTCCTGCCCGGTCGTTCCCTACCGTCATCCCTTATCCGCCATCGCAGTGCATGGTACTGCCGTCCTTCGTCCCTCGTCCTTTGTCCCGCATCTGATTCCATCTCAAGCGCAGCTGTCACTCCAGCGCAGAAGACAACGGACGCAGTGGTATTCGCTAGACGTTCCACGAGCGCCGTCGTCCGTCCCCCGGACGACCCTTGGGGCGCAGCGCACTTCACGGAATGGACACCCCTGGATGTGGATCTATGGTTGGATGGACAGGAACCTTCACTCCTCTGTGCTCCGCGCCCGGACGTGACGAACGCACCCCGGCTAACGCGCAGTGCATGAGTGAAGGGGCTCGAGGCACCGATGGCCCCTAATGAGGCGAGGAAACCATCCCGTAGGTTGAGTAGTTTAGGTCGTTGTTTGTGTATATGGCATAAAGCCAACTTTAATTATATGTGTTCTGTCATTACGATGGCTCTACAGTCAGTGAAAACCCCTCCAATGCTTGCCACGAACTATCAAGGTTCCCAAGCATCGCGTTCAATAGATTAGGTGAGAATCTTCATTCCCTGTAACTTCTGTTGTTAGCCATTCATTTGTTCGAAGAATTTCTTTCTTTCAGCATCATGTAACAATCCAGCATATCCGCTCCTACTAAGTAATACGAGAGCTACGAGAACTACGTAATAATGACTGATTCAAATTGTGATCCACATCTTTCTTTTTGTTCCAATAGCTAGATAATTTCAAAGCGACGCCTTTTAGAGTGCACCGCTCTGCCTCAAATTTCGTTCCGATTCGTGAAGCCATCAATATGCATCAATATATATGTCGCATTTCGAGCCACTTCAAGTTTATACCATGAAAGTGTTTTATTTTTAGTTACCCTTCTAGCATTTTATGAAACTGCTTTGTTGCGTTTTTGTTGGAGTAATGGTGAAATATTTAGATGCGCTGTCTGACATGTTCATTCCTGACTGCATACACAGCATCGCGCCTGGTCGACAACCCCGGTTCAAGAGAAGCGTTCATAGGCTACTTGAAAGTGCGTCGGACGTGTTATGGGGCCACGGAATTGTTGCATTGTTGTTTGATTTATAATTCTCTCGTCTGCGGCCATAGCGAGTGGCGGTGTTTTGATCGATGTCGCAATCTGCCTTGGACCAAACCCAAACCAATGTTGGGCGATACCCTATCAGGAGCCGGAAGCCGATTCAGACTATTCCCTCGGCTATTCTTACTGCACCGACCCTCGATGAGGATGCTCGTGGTCTGCTCAATCAAATCAACGAGATTTTGGTCACAAAAGCACCTGAAGCCATTCCGCTACTTCAGCAGTTCCTCAGTAAGTTACCTTCATTATCGCTTGAGGTTGTAGAATCTGAAAAAAGGGAGCGCTCTATTGTACTTTTGGGTGTGCCTGAAGCTGAGAAAGGGCTCCCCGCATCTCGGCGTCAGGAACACACTGAAAAGTATGTCTCGGAAATCTTGGACTTTCTGGACATCGAGGCGCGACCGGTCGAGGTGTTCAGAATGGGTAAACCCAGTGATAAGCCGAGACTTGTTAAGTGCGTTTTCCCATCTAAAAGATTTCTTTTCGATGCTCTTGCTCGGGCTCATCGATTACGTTCTTCCAGTCTGTTTAGCAAGGTAAAGATAAGAAAATCGATGCTGCCGGAGGAGAGGTCAAAAGACCGGGACCTACGCAAGAGGGCCTATGAGCGCAATCGCGATGAACATAACGGTAACCGCGTTTATGTCGTTTATCGAGGGGAGATAGTTAAAGCATCGAATATACCCTCTATAAAAAAGGCAGGTTCAAAAAACTGATAGGTCGCCAACCTCAGAACTGTCGTTGTGCGCTGCTAAATGCCCGAAGCCTTGTAAATAAATTACCTCATTTTCATCATTTTATTGCATCGTTTAAACCCGACATCGCATTCGTAACAGAGTCATGGTTGAATCCGAGAATAGTTGATGGTGAAGTGTGCTCAGATCTTCCCTATTGCCTGATCCGTAAGGATAGGGCAAGACGAAAAGGAGGGGGTGTTTGCATCCTTCTTCATCAATTGCTGTCATGTGAAAAGATTGAATTTAGCTCTCCCAATTTGGTATCAGATGTTTTATGTGTTGACGTTTTGTTCCCTGTGGGGAAGCATCGACGCTTTATTTTAGTGTATCGCCCCCCATCCTCCTCCTCCTCCCAAGATGAACAGCTCTTATCGATCTTATTTGATCTGACATCTTCCACGGTCAATGAGACAACAATCATGGGAGATTTTAACCTAGCTATTGATTGGGAGACAGGGTCAGCAATCTGCCCTAGTGCGATAAAATTCGTTGAATTGTTTGACTCCCTCTCACTCCAACAGCATGTGCATATACCCACCAGGGAGGATAAGATTATCGATCTGGTCTTATCCTCACAGGACAGTGTTTTCGCACTTGACTCTCTCCCACCGCTAGGCACTTCTGATCACAACATAATTACCTTCTCAATGGTCAATACTAGTAAGTGGCATCCACCCAAAAAGTGCAGAGATTATAAGCGCTGTAATAAGAGGGAGATCATGCAACTGCTCTCCTCGATAAATTGGTTGTCAATTTTTGCAAATTATGCCGATATGGATGACGTGTATAGCAGATTCTGCGCAGTTATTCAAAGTATTATTGATCAACATGTTCCAGTCAGGGTGATGAAGAGGTGTAGGGATAACGAGTACCCTCATCATATTGCAAATCTCATTCAGCAGAAGGCTAGGATTTTTTTCAACTCTCAAAACCCATTGAGCTCGTCGGAATATATCCATGTTTGCCAACAGCTTGATAAGCATTTGAAACGCTTTCTGGACTACAAAATCAGACGTATTTCTGCATCCAAAAATATACATAACCTTGCTTTGATGGTGAGTAAATATACCAAATTCATTCCGGCGAACCATGTAATTATCAAAGAGGACGGAACCAAAGTCTCGGATGACGCTTCTAAAGCAGAAGCGTTTGCCGACTACTTTTGTAGCGTTTTCAAATCGCGGACCTATGAGACACGTTTGTCCACCAGCAGTATCAGTTTGTTGTCAGCTCCGCTTATTACCCCAAACCTAGTTGCTAAACATCTAGCCACCCTCAAACCTCCCTCTCACCCACGGCGGATAACATTCCTCAGTATTTCTTCAAACACTTTAGGAAAGCCCTTGCGATTCCATTAGCACACATTTTCAACCTCTCCTTGCTAACAGGTGAGGTCCCCACCATTTGGAAAACTGCCTGGGTTACACCAATACCTAAACTGTGTAATGCTAGGAAAATTTCTGACTTCAGGCCCATAAGTATATTGCCCGCTCCGATGAAAATTCTAGAAAAACTGATGAAAGAACAGTTGCTCTCGTGGTTGGTAGTTCAAAAACACATTCCCTTGGAACAACACGGGTTTGTACCGGGAGCGTCTACATGCACCCAGCTAGTGGACTGCACATATGATTGGGCGTTGGCTCTTAATTCGGGACACAATGTGGACGTAGTCTACTTCGATCTAAGCAAAGCGTTTGATACAGTGTGTCATCATAGCCTTTTAAGCAAATTGGACGCCATTGGGGTGAGAGGGAAGCTTCTGGAATGGTTTAGATCCTATCTAAGAGGTAGGAAAATGGTGGTACGCATTTCTGACTGCTGTTCCCGTCCCAGAGACTGCAGTTCAGGGGTGCCCCAAGGCGGAATTCTTTCACCACTCCTCTTCTTAGTTTATACGAACGATCTGCTGGTGCGGCTTAAAACCCACCCTTGTATCAGAGTGGCAGCATTCGCTGATGATGTAAAAGTTTATGCAATCTACAACTCCCAAGATAAAGAGGTAGTCCAGACAGCCCTTAATAAGTCGGTGGATAAGATGATAGAGTGGACCAGTGAGTGGAATCTGAGTGTCAACTTTTCCAAAAGCCACCTTCTTTCTCTTACTGAAGACTCACTCCAAGTTTATTGTCCCACAGTATGGCCACCTTGCCTCTTGTGATCTAGGTCAGGGACTTGGGAGTTTCAATTGCAAAGGAGCTCAAGTGGAAGTCGCACATTAACAATGTCTATAATAAAGCTATGGGAGTTGTACATTGTCTATTCAGAAACATTCACTGCTCTGACGTTTTTGTGTGGATTAAACTTTTTAAGATGTTTGTGCTACCCCTTGGTGGAATACTGTAGTGCAGTGTGGAGCCCCTTTCTGAAGAATGAGATCTGCAAAATTGAGAGGATACAGAAGAGTTTCACGAGAATCCTTTATTACCGAATGTTTCCAGACCCTAATTATCCCCTGAGCCTGCCGTCATATAAAGACCGTTTGAAAGCACTTAATTTGAAGTCTCTTTACTACAGAAGAATTCAGGCTGATTTGGTCTTAGCGTTCAAGATTTTGAGAGGGGAGCTGCGACTTCAACCATCAAAATATTGGACGTTTCGTCCCACAAATGGAAGAAGTGGTGGTTTTTTCCATTTTGTCCCAAAAATGGGCGTTTGTAAACTCCTGTCCAGTCATCATAACTTCTTTTGTAGGACCAGTAGATGGCTATGCAAACTTCCACAATCTGTCCTAGCGAGCAAAACGTCTGAAAGCTTTAAGAGAGCTATTATGGAGATCGACGTCCTACAAGCCATTGGTGTCGAGGATATCACCTAGACATCTACTCTAGTCCTTCGTTCTAGCCCATGACTATGTTTCGCTCTCTGTTCTGTTTGTCATGCTTCTCCAGTCGTATATTCTGTCGACACAGTTGTTAATTTGTTTTGATGTCTTTGCTGTTGAGCATTTGATTTTTTAGCTCTTGACTGGTCAAGGGATTTAGCAGTTCCTTCGACTGACGTCAGACTGATTCCAACACTACACCCCTCTTTCTAGTGATCAAGGATGAGATGATGGTCCGTAGGTGCTGAGGACTGATTTTAAGTATGCTCCTTCTACATCTCCTTTCTTAAGTTGAAGTCCACGCCTGTTCTGGGAATGCATGGTTTGTTGTCTGGGCCTTTACCTAGCTTGCCGGGTCCACGAGGGTGGTCGGTATACCCGTGTGCCGAAGTCCCGGCAAGTGCCTATGACCCCCTTGTGGCACTAAAGGACACCATAGCCGACTGGTGTAGGTAATTGCCTGATATCACACCATTGCTGCCTCAGTTAGGCCTAGGTCTTCGCATCCCCTGATGATCATTCCTCCTATGATTTTTGTCCTCGAACACATTCACTTCACCTTCTCAGTCATATGGGTACTGCTGGTTCCTTAGATCAGCCTTTCATTGCTTTTTTCTCTTAATAATTGCATTGATTTCGCATACTGGATTCACTGGCGCGTCTCATTTGGACGTATAAATAAATAAATAAATAAATAAATAAATAAATAAATAAATAAATAATAAGTCGCTTATATAATGGTATTTAACACCCCTTCAACCAATAACGTTCCAGTGGCGTTGTATCCACCACCTCGCAACGCCTGCCAGCATCGCAGCTATTGTGATCACTGAATCAAGCCTTGTTTCGTTTCTTTGCAGAGTCACGCCTGGGGCAAAAACCGTTGTTGCGATAAAAAAAAAAACACATGCACACACTCTCCTGATTAAAGGCCGCGCTCAGATTGAACTGGCGGGCCGCTCGCAGACAAAGAAAGCATCTGAAACTCGACTGGAAGAAGCCAATAAGAAGGATGTGCGAAGTGGCAGTAAGAAGAAGTAAAAAAGAGAATAGAAGAGATCACAATAGTGAGAGCGCGCAGACATCCGCCCATACGCTGCGAATGTATTCAAAACAATCATTGGAAGGGTCTGGTGGTATCGCTCAGATATCAAGAGCCAGGAGAACGAGACATCTGCGACTTGAGTGGACTGCTCTATCCCACCCAACCAGGAATTGATCCACTTGTACTCACCGTGGGAAATGACTTCAGGAAAAATCAGCTGCTAAAAACAAACAGCAAATCAACGGACAAACTATTTAATTCGAATTGACTGGTGCCGTAGGTGCTTTCAAAACGAACAGATTGGCTTGAAAAAAGGCGGCTTAGAATGGAAAATGGTACATAGAAGGTACTCAGCGCATGATGTAATCCTGGTACTGTGCCTCTTTTTGACACGATTACACGTACGCGCAAAGCTCTTTACCCATCTTCAGCAACTCCTGCTATAGGAAACTATCTGATAATGAGAAAGTCAAGGGAATGTCAATGGAGGGTGTAGGAAACTGTAAACACTAGGATTTCGAGAAAGGCGACTAGCATAGCAGCGTTTTCACTGGAAGCACGGTGTGTTCCTTCTGCAGAAATAGAAATAACTATGTTGGCCAGTACCTGACTCAGTTCGTCAAGGGTCCTGATGGAGTGCACCAGTATTTTGGAGGCGGGACGAGGATCGACTTCGTCGGCAGAAAACAGCAAACTTCTTTCCTCAGCTGTCATTTTGCCAATTTGCGTCCAGAGTGCTCTTCGAAACCTTGCGTTGTAGTGCAAAGAGAAATCCGACTGAAACTCAGGATTAATGCACTTTATGAAAGAAGATGGCGGGAATTTCGGGAATTCTTCCAACATAAAAAAAAAACTTCTCGAAGAAAATAGCCTGGTTTGGCTGTAACCACAAGTCATTATAAGGTCGACAAACCTGCAGTGTAGAGGCGAAAATTGCTGCGTTTTTCGTAGCGACAATTTGCTTGGCAGCCAATTTGACGACTCGATCACCTCGAGAGCAGCCTGCCAGCTGGACTGCAGTCGACCACTGAGTACCTCTACTCTTCAGCTGGACCTCCAGAAGTGATTCCTGAACAGAATACAAAATATAGTTCTTTCAGCATGCAGGGGCCTTCACAAGCTATTTCTGAAAAACCATGAGAGCTAAAAACACTAACCTCACGAGTGGCATTGTGGGTGAAGAGGAAATGACACACGGCCGTCACTTGCTTGTGCACATCGTCATGCAGCGAATTTGGGGATACCATCCAACGTCGAGCCTGATGTCAAATTTTTGGTCATTCTAGGCAGCCAAAGGATTCTTCAAGATACCGATGACAGATTGTGATGCGATTGCTGACACACCCGATACCAGGTGTGATGTTGAGCTTTCAAATGTGAGAGCATGAAGCTCTCGATAGAATGAAGTTCGTCCCCAAACACTATGTGGCCTTTCTATTTATATAACTCCGCTGTGCTACTCAGACTGAATGTAACCGAAACACAGTTGAAATCGCTTTCTATTCAAGTGAAGGGTCAGCATAGCTACGTTAATGGTTTTCGTGAACGTTTATGTAAATGGCTGAGGTAGCGCTTATAGAGAAGGAGAATGTACAGAAGCAGATCGAACGACGGAAGCCTTAAAGAAACCGAGAGTTATTGACAGCTAAAGGGAGGTTCCACGATAAGGTCGAAGAAGGGGAAAACTTACCATAGTGGAAAGACAGGCGGACCTCCTAAGGTGCGGACCGACACGCAATTCGCATCGAAGGATATGCCCCCGGCGATCTAGCATGGCCTTCCCCGCGGCCCAATTGGCGCGCTATTGGCCCGGTACGCCCCTCTCGCGTCGTCTCGTGTCTGAGTCTCTAGCCATTTAGCAGAGAGGCGTTAGGCAGAGCCGGTTTAAAGGAGGTCAGCACTGGGATGAGGTCTCAGAGGCGTGCGGCAAGATGTCTCCTAAGTTTCGGGATTCATTCTTCTCTCGTTCGTTTGCTCTTCATTCGTGCATCACTGACCATCCGTAACCTAACTTCCAATGGGTTGCCTTTTCATCGTGAAATCTGTCTTCAAGAATAAAGCTGTTGCGTAGCAATATCTGTATGAGTACAAATACGCATTTCCTTCTTACTCGGCTCCTTTTCATTGTTCTCGGAAAATGTAAACACTCTCTCAAAAAGGTTGCAGTCGCTTTTTGCTAGATGTGCTGGTCATGGCCCTGTCCTCTAATTCTTCAGGAACGTAAGTAGAACAAAATTGGCATAACGCTTCCCTGTCACCCTATTGAAAGAAATATAAATTTTAGTCGGAAGAAGAGGAAAGGGGAAGTCAGCGATCCCAAATCGTGCGACCAGTAAACGCTGTACCCTTCGGTCATGAAAAAGAAGCACTGTGACTGAAGTCATTACTGCTCACCTGAGTTTGGTGATCGCAGGTAGGGCGATTGGTTATACATCTTAGTTGATAAAGCTTTGATAATCTAAAAAGCAGAATCATATAACTCCTTAACAATATCTTATAGACTTGTTGGAAATACCTTGTAGGGTCAATAAGCCACAAAGCAGCGAGTTCCGTGTCGGTTTGGCTGTCATCGAGGAGTTTATCGAGCTGAGCGATCACTGGGGCCAAATATAAATGAAGTTCCGGAAGATCGACTCCACGAAATGAGTCGAAAAGGCGATGAATCGCATTCATTCCTATTAGAGCCACTCCCAGGTCTTGCTCATCAGCCAAATATCTGAAATAGCTCATATCAATACTTGGGTACTGCTGTTGAGTGTCATTTTTGAAGTAACCGAAACTCTGGTGAAACTATGAAGAAATAAAGTGATTCATCGACTGTTCATTCATTCGCGTGCAGAAGTTCGATAAGGACAACCGATATCCAATTTTTTGGTTCAACGAGTTTTCGCGGTGACATGGTTCTTGATCTGCCGAATTTTCTACCGTTTCCCTCAATGTTTTCACAGAGACAAAATGGCTAAGGATTGTTGACATGAATAAAACTCCAAAAGCACTCATCAAATGACATCGGAGAGGAATGTCCGTTAATAACAAGTGGATCACTTTCAGATCCACTGCACTGCGACTGGAAGGAGGAAGCATTGGGCACTTATTAGCTATCTTTTGAATGCGCCACGAACTCCACTTCCATTCAGAATCGTAGCGGGGTGATGCGATCTAACCTTTGACTTGAGGAACTAGCCGATGTACAAGTCAGTGTTTACATCCTTTCATACGAGTCGGGCACTGATTGACTCCGAAGGCTCCAAAAGAAAAACGGGAGGTAGTTTTATGGGCACAAGTTCTCGCCTGGCGCCAATATGTGATGAACTTGGATTGAGAATGTACTCTATGGACAGTTTGTTCCGTTCTATTT